ACACACACACATAGAAAGAGAGCGAGAGAGAGAGATAGACAGATAGATATAGATATAGGTATAGATGTAGATATAGATAGATATAGATATAGGTATAGATGTAGATATAGATAGATATAGATATAGGTATAGATGTAAATATAGATATAGATATAGATAGATATGTGTAAATATATATATATTTTTTTCTTTTTTCAACAGCCATTCATTCCACTGCAGGACATAGGCCTCTCTCAATTCACTATTGAGAGGTTATATGGCAGTGTCACCCTTGCCTGATTGGATGCCCTTCCTAATCAACCGCGGTTCGGCGCGCTAACACTTGTGCCACGGACATCTCAAGGCGATATGTCGTTTTCTCGGACTCGAGCCAGCAGTCAGAGCGCAGGCATTTTAACGTTGAGGGTCGGAGTCCAGTGCTCTAACCACTAGAACATCGCGGCAGTCCATATATATATAGATACAGAAATAGATATATATAGATATATACATATACATATATACATATATATTTTTTTTACACACACACATATCTGTGTGTGTGTATAGATATATATATGTATACACACATATATGTATATATACACATATATGTATATATACACATATATGTATATATACACATATATGTATATATACACATATATGTGTGAATATATACATATGTATGTGTATATATATACAAATATATATACATACACACACAGACACATACGCATATATATATGTATACATATATACACACACAGAGAGACACACATACATATATATACATATAAATGCACACACACACATATATGCGTGTGTGTGTATATATATACATATATACTAGTCCTGAGTAAGACGTTAAACTGCACCCTGGATTGCCCTTTGGAAAGTCATAGTACCCATTTTCCACCCTTGGTTGAGGTAAAACCAAAACTGTTGCAACAGGGCAGTGGATGCATATTGGAGGCTCATTCAGTGCAACTGAAAATGATGACTACAATAAGCACGCACGTCTGGCAAGTACTCAGTCCTACTGAAGAAATGGCAGAGGTGCACCTTCCGGTAGAGGAAACCTGCGGCAGAGAAAGTGTACTGGGAACCCTACTCTGCTATTCTTCCCGATTATCCTCCATGATGTTAGTACAGAAGAGAAAAAACTCATGCCACATCACTCGTCGCGTGGACTTCCAAGGAGCGCATTGCCCAGTGGGAAAAAAGGCTGGCAACGAAAAATATGTTATTTGGAGAAGCAGGTTGTGTCTATGGCAAGAGAAAAAAGAGGTAGACCCAAAACACGCTATAGTGATAACATCAAAGAGATCAGTGGCTTGAGTTTTGCTGAAATTTGTAGACTCACAGAATAAAGATGCTTGGAGGACCACGGCAATTCAGCAATAAATTAACCGTTCTATTATATATATATATATATATATATATATATATATATATATACAAAAACACATACACACATGTATGTGTGTGTGTGTGTGCATGTATATGTATGTATATGTATGTGTGTCCATGTGTGTGTGTGTGTGTGTGTGCATGTATATGTTAGTATATGTATGTGTGTCCATGCGTGTGTGTGTGCATGTATATGTATGTTTGTCTCTCTGTGTGTATGCATATGTATACATATACATATATATCTATATATATGTGTGTGTGTATATATACACATATATATGTGTGTATGTGTGCATATATATACATATATGTGTATGTATATTTATATATATATATATATATATATGTGTGTGTGTGTGTATACACTTATAAATGTGTATATATACATATATACGCATACACACGACACATATACATATATATACATATACATGTACACATACACACACATAAACATGTGTTTGTGTGTGTGTGTGTATATATATGAATGTGTGTATGTATATATATAAATATATGTACACACAGATATATACATGTGTGTGTGTTTGTGTGTATGTGTGTGTGTTTGTGTATGTGTGTGCCCTTGCGTGTATGTGTGTGTGTGTGTGTGTGCGTGTGCCTGTGCATGCGTACATGCGTGCATGCAAGAGAGAAAGAGAGGCAGATATTCAGTTATCAACATTCTTTCTAATATACCTGATCACTGTCCACCAAGAGACACTTATACTACATAGAATGTAACTAATAGCGACTGCTTATTCCCACTGAGATGCTGCTAAGTCATATTTTAAGCTCTGTGCAGGTAAAGGGAAAAGCTTACTGCATTCCTACACTTACTAAATAACGACTTGTCTTCACGAATGGCAACGAGGGTCTCATTTTCCTCGTAGCCTTGCCCTGTCATAGCAAGCACGACTACGCCCAACGCCACGGCGAAAAACTTGGCACGCATAATGGCGACTTTTGTTCGTCCTGCTCGTCCTGCCTAACAACCAGTTTCACTCCGAAACCTAAACGCACATGCTCTGCCTCCCGGGGCTGTCTACCCTCTCACGAAACAAAGAAAAGCGAGTCCTGCGTGCCGGGGGACTGCTACTCGACCACGTGAGCCGGGAACGGAGGAGGGGAGGAAACTGGAGGCTATAGGAGTGCAGGTCGACCACGTAAGCCAGAGCGCCAACAGGTAGGGTCTGTGTGGGCGGCCGTCCGTGTCTGGGGCTCCTTAGTTCGGGGAGACCACGCCCCCTTCCTTGCGCGTCCGGAGGCCCTTTCCTTTCTGCTGTTCAGCTGTAAGGGCGGTTCGATGCATGTTGCTTGCGTTTTTAAAACTTTTTTCGTTTACTTACTCTTTGTGCTCAGCAGCTGTAAGAACTGACGTCAGAAGAAAATATAACGAGCATCTTTACGGTGTTGAGCGGTTATCTTGATATTAGGTAAGAAATTTACAGTGTACCAAAAGTGAAAATATATATGTATATATATATATATATATATATATATATATATATGTATGGTGGTAGGTGTGTGTGGCATGTATATGTATGTTTGTCTCTCTGTGTGTATGCATATGTATACATATACATATATATCTATATATATGTGTGTGTGTGTATATACACATATATATGTGTGTATGTGTGCATATATATACATATATGTGTATGTATATTTATATATATATATATATATGTGTGTGTGTGTATACACTTATAAATGTATATATATACATATATACGCATACACACGACACATATACATATATATACATATACATGTACACATACACACACATAAACATGTGTTTGTGTGTGTGTGTGTATATATATGAATGTGTGTATGTATATATATAAATATATGTACACACAGATATATACATGTGTGTGTGTGTTTGTGTGTATGTGTGTGTGTTTGTGTATGTGTGTGCCCTTGCGTGTATGTGTGTGTGTGTGTGTGTGCGTGTGCCTGTGCATGCGTACATGCGTGCATGCAAGAGAGAAAGAGAGGCAGATATTCAGTTATCAACATTCTAATATACCTGATCACTGTCCACCAAGAGACACTTATACTACATAGAATGTAACTAATAGCGACTGCTTATTCCCACTGAGATGCTGCTAAGTCATATTTTAAGCTCTGTGCAGGTAAAGGGAAAAGCTTACTGCATTCCTACACTTACTAAATAACGACTTGTCTTCACGAATGGCAACGAGGGTCTCATTTTCCTCGTAGCCTTGCCCTGTCATAGCAAGCACGACTACGCCCAACGCCACGGCGAAAAACTTGGCACGCATAATGGCGACTTTTGTTCGTCCTGCTCGTCCTGCCTAACAACCAGTTTCACTCCGAAACCTAAACGCACATGCTCTGCCTCCCGGGGCTGTCTACCCTCTCACGAAACAAAGAAAAGCGAGTCCTGCGTGCCGGGGGACTGCTACTCGACCACGTGAGCCGGGAACGGAGGAGGGGAGGAAACTGGAGGCTATAGGAGTGCAGGTCGACCACGTAAGCCAGAGCGCCAACAGGTAGGGTCTGTGTGGGCGGCCGTCCGTGTCTGGGGCTCCTTAGTTCGGGGAGACCACGCCCCCTTCCTTGCGCGTCCGGAGGCCCTTTCCTTTCTGCTGTTCAGCTGTAAGGGCGGTTCGATGCATGTTGCTTGCGTTTTTAAAACTTTTTTCGTTTACTTACTCTTTGTGTTCAGCAGCTGTAAGAACTGACGTCAGAGGAAACTATAACGATCATCTTTACGGTGTTGAGCGGTTATCTTGATATTAGGTAAGAAATTTACAGTGTACCAAAAATAAAAATATATATGTATATATATATATGTGTGTGTGTTTGTGTGTGTTTGTGTGTGTGTGTGTGCGTGTGTGTATACATATATATGTAAGTATGCATGTATGTATATGTATATATATGCATACATATATATACATATGTATTTGTGTGTGTGTGTGTGTGTATGTACATACTTATCAATGCCCAATGGTCCTTCCCCAGGGGAGTAGTTGTTTAGGTAATCATTGTTGGTGGTTCTCATCTCACCGTCATATCTACGACAGACTCACCCACTACCGTTTCTAGGTCAGACTTACCCAGTATATGCAAAATCCGAGTGTGCGTGCGTGTGTGTGTGTGTGTGTGTGTGTGTGTGTGTGTGTGACTGCTGCGTTGAGAAGTCAGACACAAGTACCGTAGGGAAAGCCGCCGTCGTGTACAGAATTGTTAGCACGCCCAACCGCGGCTGATTAGGAAGGCCATCCAGTCAGGCAAGGGTGAGACTGCCAAATAACTTTCCAATAGTGAATTGAGAGAGGCCTATGTCCTGCAGTGGAATGGATGGCTGTTGAAATGTGGTGTGTGTGTATGTATATGTATATATATATATATGTGTGTGTGTGTGTGTGTGTGTGTGCGTGTATGTGTGTTTGTGTGTTTGTGTGTGTGTGTGTGTGTGTGCGTATGTGTGTGTGTGTGTGTGTGTGTGTGTGTGTGTGTGTGTGTGTGTGTGTGTGTGTGTGTGTGTGTGTGTGTGATAGAAAATTCCATAATGCAAAATAGATTTATTGAAAATGAGACTACAGTTTCGAAATCCACCTGGATTCCATCTTCATGTCTGACGAGGAAAGGGAGCGGAGGAGATATGAAAGAGAGGCAGGAGAGGCAGGTGAGGACAGACGAACGGAAAAGGACGGACTATGCGCAGAGTGGCCGGCATAAGGGAGAAGGAGGAAGATGTTGGAAGCGAGGAGACTATCGGCAGGAGAAAAAATGCTCTTCAAGCCGAAATTTGGCAGAAGTTTGATTAGGGATTCCACCAGTTTGAGGCCGTGAACATCGGCGGAAGGAAAGACAATTCGCTGCGCTGACTAATCCATCTGATGAGTTGTGTGCCACTAATGGCAAAAGAGGGCGTTGTTGTTGTGTCAAAGTACTGCTTATTACGGAAGGCACAAGGAACAGCATAAGTGCCCACCTTCGAGGCAGAGGGAGGACTGGTGTGGACCAGGTTGCGACAGAGAGTGTTCACCTGGCCAAAGATCAGCCTGCAGTTGAGAGGGTGAAGAGGGCGACGGAGAGAGTAGATCTCCTCAGTGTAGGGTAGGCCGAGGACGAGCAGGTGAGGAGTGGGAGCATAGTGCATGGGCAACAGTTTGCTCCTCACGTTCTTTCGCCCAGGCACTGACTTTAACTATACGGGAATGGGTAGAGATAATAATGCCATAATCGACACACACACACACACACATATATATATATGTGTGTGTATATGTGTGTGTGTGTTTTCAGTCCCTTACTTGACAGGGAAGAGCTAACACGAGTATATAAATTTCATCTTTTCTGTTTCGATTTCTTTCATCCGTGATCACCCTGTATTCCAAGCCTTTCCACCTCTCTCTCTCTATTAGGTAAGTCGAAAAAATATCTATCAATAAATACTCTTATGACAAAAAATCTGGACACCTGTTCGTGCGCCTAACCGTGTTACCTACAGACAACGTGATGACAAATGATACAAAAGACAACGTCCGCCACTGAGGCAGACAGACACAGACAGAGACACAGAAGAACTAGATTTGATGTAACGGAACGATCTTCCCAAGTGACATCGTCACAGCCACGAGGCTTAAAAAAAAACTAATGGTTAACGGCCCTTATGGTTATCCATATTTTTTTCTCAACTCTTTTACTGGAAACCGCAGGCTTCATCTGACCGTGAGCTCTGTGGTAAAGATAGCTTCGGAAGTTACCGTAAAAAAGTATCTTGTAGGCCTTACTTGGCTAAGAAAAGAATAGAAGAAATAATGATTAATATATGCACAAACACACACACACACACACAGGCACACACACACACACACACACACACACACACACACACACACACACACACACACACACACACACACACACACACAAGCACATACACACACACACACACACAAACACACACACACGCATACACACGCACACACACACACGCATACACACATATATATGTATGTGTGTGTGTACACATATATGTGTTTGTGTGTGTGTGTGAGTGTGTGTGTGTGTGTGTGTGTGTGTGTGTATAAGTATACTTATCTTTAATGATCCTCCTACGCGTATCATACTAATAAAAAGTCATAATTTAGAGTAACAAGTGGTTGGAAAGAAATCGCGGTCACCGCCGCGATTAATTCCATCCTGAACCCACGAAAACGGGATCCGGCCTCCTTCCTCACCCTTCCCTGCTCACGACGAATATTAGGGCGCATGTAATGAGTGTTATAGAGAGAGTAATCCTTCACAATAGGGGGGAAACCTTAGTTGCAAATGTATCTAGTGCCTTAATGAGGTATTAAAGGTCTAACATACTGGATGGTCATTAATGATCGATAAATTTGCTAGTTTTATATTTCGAACCGGGAAATGGGAAGTAAATTATAATGTGGAAAGTAATGTGTGTGTGTGAGTGTGTGTGTGTGTTTGTGTGTGTGTGTGTGTGTGTGTGTGTGTGTGTGTGTGTGTGTGTGTGTGTGTGTGTGTGTGTGTGAATGGTAAAACCATCTACCGTCTTGATACTGTGGCAGAAAAACACAATGTAAAATAAATCTAGTTTGTGCATTGTGGGTTTTTCTATCATATATCTACATCACACACACACACACACACACACACACACATATATATTACTTATTTACTTAAAAACGTGAAAGAGAAACACTTTCTAGAATGGAGTTTGATTCACTAATGTTTCTATTAGGAAAATTGGACTTCTTTATGCCTCGTCGCCAATGTTGTTATTGTGTCCTATTCATGTTCTCTTATTGAAGAATTATAAATCCTTCCTTGTATATTTCTACTGCTCCTACTGCATAACTACAAGACAGTCACGTGACCTTTTCTTTTTCTTCTTTCTATTTTTTTCGATTTTACTTTCATCGGACTTTCTTCTTCCTTCTTACATACTAATCTATCATCGCAAGCCATTCTAATCAAAATAAATATAAACAAGTACGGCCAGGGCAATAAAGGAAAACCCCCCAAAAAAGACAGATGACTTTACGGTTAACAACTTTTTAAAAAGAAACAGAAATGAAAAATCTTTCCTTTCAACAGGCA